TCATCAGCAGCATTAGTGCAGACAAAAACTGCTGGTATGTCGCTGTAAGGCTCAAGTGATCTGAATATTTGGTGGGCTCGAGCTTGGGGCAGTCCGCTGTTCTTGACGGGCTCTACTTCATATCCGAGTTGCATGAGACGGTGTATATCCGACCGACTCGGCTGGATTCTTTTTCCACCATAACACCTTCACAGGTACAATTGAGAGGACAGAGAAAGAAGCTAGAGAAAAGGAGCACATAACTTTTTCATGGATGGGTCGAAGCTTGATGGAAAGCTCGGCATGGAAATCTTCAGTCGGGAATTTTCTATCGGCAGCGTGTTCCGCCTTCCAAGCCATTGCAGTGCTTTTCAGGCGACGGTTGCTGCTATTAAGAAAGCGATGTATGCACCGCTTCGAAGTGTGCTTTCTGTGAGAGCGACTTAGATAACCAATCGGCTATTACACGGCGTTCGGCTCACTCATGGCAAGCTCCAAAATTATGAAGGAATGCAAGAAATCTTTAACAAATTTGTCTGAGGCGTCGACTTATTGCAGAATTAAAACAATATGGATACCGGGTGACAATGTAAGAGCTGTGAATTGGAATGCTGATGATATTTTTGGGTACAGCCGTCTTTTTAGTGCTGGACAAAGCGTAAATATACGCTGTCCTCCAACTCATCATCAATCATCTATACACTTTCTTATGAACTGCCTTGCTCTTGCTCTGTTCTTTTGGCTTCACAACGGACATATGTTCTATGAGGGATCACTTTAGGATCAACTACTTCTACCTAACCAAACCTTAACCCACTCTTTTGCTCAATACCAAAGAAGAAAATTACGTAAAAATTTGAGATTAATTGGTTGAGCTTTTTCTGAGAAATCGGAATCACCTTTCAGGTAGCTTGTGGATCAATTTGTGCAGCGAGTTCGCCAAACCGGATCAAACAACTCGCGGATTTGCTCGCCCAGTGCGATCAGAGGAAAATATTGCTGGTGTTCGATATTCCAATTGGTGTAAGAACTTAAGACTCATGACAATCCGATGCGATTTTCCTTCGGTCAATGTGTTGAAGAGAATGAAGTGGAGTAAGAGTGGTTAACCTTATCTTACAGCCTACATTACTAACGGACTTTTAAGAACTGTGTTAGAAAATGTCAAAACTAGTCCAAGTGTCAAATGACATCGGCAGAATGAGCTACTGAACGGCAGCCAAATGAATGAAGTGATATTCCATCATTATTTATCACTTTCAAACAACTTGGAGAAAACAGAAATAGTTGGTCGACCTGAAAAACAGTCAATCATGCACAATTTCGATTACGGTAATTTTGATGAAAAAAATTCTTCACGAAGTGGAAGACCAATTTTCGAAAATGTCGATAAAATCTTGGACATTTTCGAGTTCGATAGCCAAAAAACCGTTTGGAACCATTTGAATAAGGCTAGATGGATATGGGAAGTAAAACCATTCCATTCATCCAAAAAAAATGGCTTACTTTTTACTAGACCAATATATATATTTATTAATTTATATATTTTGTCATTAAATAGGCCAATATTGAAAGCTATAAGCTGTTTTTGGATTACTATGTAACGAAATCGGCTGACAGTATTTTATACTAAAAACTATTTTTTTTTTCTCTTCTTTGATTGCAAAGGAGATTTAGTATTTAGATAGGTTAGGTTATGCTAAATAGGCGGGTTCACAAAAATTGGCTTTTAAACTTATCAATAACTTTTCAAAGACTAGCTCATTTCTGGTTTGAAAACTGGAACCATTCATAATGTCAAATTTGGATTAAAAAGTTCATGATTTTTCACAATCGGTTCATCTTTCATGCAGGTCGTAAGGCAGTAGTCTGCTTTAGAGACTTCAAAATATGCATTAAATTTATTCTAAAACTATCCAGGAATATATTTTCAAAATTCCAGTGACCAAATTCGACATATTTTAAAAGGTGGAGTAATTTTATTGGCTGAGCATCGGGCTGGCATTTTCTCGAGTTTCCATTTTGATTAAAAAAAAAAAATCAAAATAATCTGTAGTATTAAATTATCTTCTATTTCAACTAAAAGGTTGGACAAAAGCATTATTTGAACTAGTTTTTTACCAACTTGAAGTGATTCTTTTTTTCAAACTTAAAAACATTGAAATTTGTTCGGTAGTTTTTTAGTTTATACGTGTATGCATAGAAGAAACACTCATAAAAATTAAAAAAAAAAAAAAACTTGGTTCGACTATTTCCGAAGCATCGCACGACCTACATCAAAAGCAGCGTTTCACATGTTCAGACTGCAGTCGCTTCAGAAAACTCATCACAACATTGAAAAATTTCAATTTTTTTATACTAAAAATTGTTTTTTTTTTTTTTTTTTTTTTTTTTTTTTTTTTTTTTTTTGAAGCTTAAATGTAGGAAATTGTTGTCCAGAATAATTTCGTTTGCAGCCATAATTTCCTTCCCTTTCAAAAAAAATTGCTGAAAAAGGCTTTTCGTCGAGTTCTAAAGAAGGCAATAATTCCTTAATAAAAAATTTTTGGCCATGCGCATATATTAGGTCAAGTAAAAAGTTCGTTCGGTTTTTATCTAATAGATGGCGTTATTGTACTAGTGTTACGTGTCGCATCATGTCATACTATACGGCGCTGAAAGCGTGTTTATTCGCGCTAAAAGTTTGTCTTTGACAATTTTTCGACTGATTGACTCAGCACAAGATGGACACCAGCTAAGAGAAAATTCGCTAAATTTTACAATTTTTCTTCGATCAAGGCGAAGAAGCAGCCAAAGCGGCTGAAAAAGTTAATTTAGTTTGTAGGCCCGATACTGTAAACGAACGCGTAGCACAAAAGTGGTTTGCTAGGTTTCCTTCCGGTAATTTCGATCTCAAAGATGCAGCACGCTTCGGAAGGCCTGTCGACGAAAATTGCGATAAAATCATGGAAATAGTGGAAACAGACCGCCACGTGAGCACTTATTTAATTGCTGAGGAACTTAAGATAAGCCATATAACCGTTTGGAACTATTTGCCTAACCTTGGATTTAAAAAGAAGCTCGATGTTTGGGTGCCACAGGAACTAACGCAAAAAAATATGCTGGACCACATATCCACCTGCGAATCGCTGCTGAATCGCAACAAAATCGACCCGTTTCTGAAGCGGATTGTGACTGGCGATGAAAAATGAGTCATTTACGACAATATCGATCGCAAGCGGTCGTGGTCAAAGCTTGGGAAAGCGGCTCAGGCGGTGACCAAGACCGGATTGACGGCCAAGAAGGTTTTGCTGTGTGTTTGGTGGGATTGGCAAGAAATCATCTACTACGAGCTGCTCCCCAATGGCCAAAAGCTCAATTCGTCCCTCTACTGCCAAACTAATATACCGCTTGAAGGCAACACTCATCCAGAAGCGGCCATATTTGATCAACAGCGCCCGAATTGTGTTGCATTAGGACAACGCCAGGCCACACACGTCTTTGATGACGCGCCAGAAGTTCCAGGAGCTCGAATGGAAGGTCCTAATGCATCCACCTTATAGTCCGTACCTGGCACCAAGTGATTACCATCTTTTCCTGTCCATGGCGAGCGCGCTTAATGGTGAGAAGTTGGCCTCAAGAGGGTCTGTGAAAATTGGCTCTCCGAGTTTATTGCCAATAGGCACGCAGCCTTCTACGAGAGAGGGACAATGAAGTCTCGTTGGCAACAAGCTTACAAACAAAACGGCGCATATTTGACTTAATCGGACAAATGTACACAAAGTTATTATACTTTGAAAAATCAATAAAAAACCGAACAAACTTTTTACTTGACCTTATATATTAAATATACATAAATAAATTTATTAAATTTTTTTAAAGAAGCATAAATCGATTCAAATTAAGGTGTGAAACATATTTGCATATAAAGAGGATTTAAAAAACAAATTAATAAATAAAGAATAAACTCTTATTAAAAAAAAAATCTTAACAACCATTATTTTACGGATTTCATATATAAGCAATTTTTTTTTAAATTTTATACAAGCAATTAAAATCATATACCGTTAGTGCCGAATCATAAATTATAAATAGTTAAAATCCCTTTAATTTAGAACTTAAAACAATGTAAATTAAAATAGTATTTATGTATATTGAATAAAAAAAAATTATCATATTGTCTCGTAGTCAGGCGGGCAGGCAGTGACAACACTATTTAACTGATATTTATACATCATATATATACATACAAATAAATGCAATCACCAATTAGTGCAAAAAGTGGAAAAAAGTATAGAAAAATATTAAACGAAACTATGGGTCAAATATTCAATTAATATACATATTAAAATAAATTGTAAGGCATTAAAATTGATAGAATCAAATATCAAAATATGCTACGCGTACGTGGAAATCACGGGTCATTCAATCGCAATAATAAAATCAGGCAATTAAGGAGGAAAAGAAACTTCTATGCAACTGTGTCAGTAGTGATACTATGCAAGTTTATACCGTTATGCACATATATATGTACATGAACCAAACACCATTTATTATATATATTTTACATAGCTATGTACGTACATATGTGCGCATACATGTATTTATGTGTAAGCGTGTATTTGTGTTTCAGTGTGAAAAGTATAACAACAACAAAGTACATATGTAAATATATATATTTTTTTTCAAATTTTTACTAAATAAATTAATTGGCAAAAATGCATTGAAAAAGTTAACAACAGCCACTTTTTTCGTGCATATATGTACATACATACATATGCACACATATATACATTCATATATACATACTCGTATGTATGCACATAGCAATTACAAATAACAACAATAGGACAACGTTTACATAAATATATTCAACAAATACAAATACAACAAGAAGGTAGAAAAAACTAAGTAAGTTGCAAATTTCTTTTTTACAAATACAAAAATACGCAAAAAAAAAATTAAATAAAAATCAAGATACATAGTAGATAGTAGTTTCGCAACGATTCGCAACAATAACCAGCAATAATCAATTTACCCACCTTACTATAAAGCGTTGTGCTGCCCGACCGTTGATTATAACCATTGCCCTGGTCCGTATAAGTCTTTACCTGAGTGTGTCGATTATCCCTATCGTAATAGTTTTTCAGCGTTTCGCGTGGTGAACGCGGCACATTGGCAGGTGTATTGTTGCCTCGCATACTGCCGCCCTGTTGATTGGTGCGCCGTTCGGTGGTGATAACACTTATGCCCTGACCATCTTTGTGTGAACGACGAGCTGCATACTTTTCTGGCTTAAGAAGACTGTGAGGGATTTGTTATTTGTTATTTTTTGTTTTTTTTTTATGTTTTTCGTATATTGATATCAGCCAATAAACCCGCCAGTTAGTGTCAGCATCAAAGGCGTTAACAATAGCATACAGCCACATGGAGGTGTTGTAGAGTGTAAACGTTGCATAATTTATTTCAATTGCATAACGGAAGTTAACAAAAAGCAAAGAGTATTTAATATATTAATGTAATTTCATGTAATAAAAATTGAGTTGAGAATATAAATACATATATACGTATATATATCGCTAAACATATGTATATCATCATACCTTGGATATTGTGGTCCACATTGTGTGTAGCAGCAATTGTGCCAGCAGCCACGTGAGAATGGATTGTAGCCACCTTTAAATTTGCCTGTGACCTGTTCGTTTGTTGTGCGCCCACGTGACACGAGCACCATATGAAAGCCGGTAAGACCAAAAATCGGAATCGCTAGGATTATAACAATGGCCATCAGCACCATACTGTCGTTGTGCGTGTTTCAAATGATTTCGTGTTAAGGAAGCCCAAAATTGATCTTTTTTTGTTTGTAAAATATGTTACAAATGTTTTTGAATATGTTATTTATTTGAATGCAAAAATTAATATCAAAAATGCAAAAACTGTAAAAATAAGTAAAAAAAAAAAAAAATTAAACAAAACAGCACGACACAAATACATAAATTAAATTCTCAAATAACCTATTGTTACTAGCTGAACTTTTAATGAAAATTTAAATCAATTGGACCAGTTCGAAAAAAGACTTTGCCCACAATATATTTTTTTCTTTATTTATTTGAATTTATTCTTTTTTTTTGTATTTTATATTATTTTGCTTGATTTCAATTTTATTTGACTTTAATTTATTGTATTTTATTATTTTATCATACTTTATTTTAATTGTTTAAATTAAATTTGATGTTTTTAATATATTTTAATTTAATTTATTTTTTTCATTATATAATTTATTTTTTGAATGTACTTATTTAGTTTTATTTTTTATTTTCCTTTACTTAACTTCTTTAATCTACATTCATTTAGCTCAAATTAAATTTAATTCAACTCAATCTTAATTTATTTCTTTTTTATTTTATTTTACTTCCTTTTTGTAATTTTGTAAATTTGTTTTTATTTAATTTAATTTATATTTATTTTATATTTATTTTATATTTATTTTATTTTATTTTATTTAATTTTAATTAATTTAATTTAATTTAATTTTTTTTATTTTATTTCATTTCATTTCATTTCACTCATTTCATTTCATTTCATTTTACTTTATTTTATTTTATTTTATTTTATTTTATTTTATTTTATTTTATTTTATTTTATTTTATTTTATTTTATTTTATTTTATTTTATTTTATTTTATTTTATTTTATTTTTTTTCATTTTATTTCATATTATCTTATATACCCAGCTTTCATTATTAGATAATATTCGACCGAATAGACCACGTCGAGCCCGAGGTGAAGAAAATATAGCGGTGTAGCGAAGAGTGTACACAAAAACCGGGGAGAGACGTTTCGGCGCTGTTCGCAGTTACTCGGACTGTCATATGGAATGGCAGAATTTAACGAGATTTTAAATTAAAAATATACAAAATACAGCTTGGGCAAAACTGAAGCCGCTCTTAAAAAGTTCCAAGAAGATACGAAGTTTTCGAGCCAAATTTTGTTCAGCGATGAGGCCCGATAGGTATGTAAGGAAGAAAAATTGTCGCATTTGGGACGAAGAGCCACATGAAGGGATTCAAGAGCTGACTATTTGATGCCTGAAATTGAGTCTCAAGATCTCGGCGACATTTGGTTTGAACAAGACGGCGCCACTTCCCACACATCGCATCAATCAATGGATTTATTGAGAAAATACTTCGGTGAGCAGAAGATTTCACGTTTTGTGCTGGTCGATTGGTAGCCAAGATCTTGTAATATCATGCCGTTAGACTTTTCCCTGTCGGGATATGTAGTCTAAAGTTTAAGCCGACATTCCCGCTTCGATGCTGGCCTTGGTGCATAGCTACCAGCCGAAGTGCTCGAACGAGTCATCGAAAATTGGAGTCAATGGTCAACATTTGAAAAAGATAAGCCTCAAAAAATAAATGCCAAATAATGTTCTCTCGAATGATAGTAAACATTCCCAATAAGTTTGAAATTTCTATTTTTTTTTTTTTAAGTCGGGATCCTTGAAATGGGGCACCTTTCAAATAAAAACAACATTTTAGTAAGAAAGATTGACCAGACGGTTGTCACTTGCTTAGTTCTAGAAGAAAACTGTTTAAAAATTCGAATGTCTTAAAAATCAAGTTTCAATTTTGTTAAAAAAAAAAGAAGTAAATAATTAAAATGTAATTTACGCTACAGAGACCACTGATGTATATTTTAACGGTTTTTTTTCTCTCGTTTAAAAAAGGATACGCTACTATGGGCGGTGTGTCTCTGATGTTTGGTGTTATCTTCAATATATAAAATAAGCATAATGAGAATATGCTCAACATGTGTATTGATAATGAAACCAGGAAGAAGAAAAAGAAACGATAATTGCGCCGTCCAATGCAATTGTTCACCCAAGGGCAATGATGATCGAATGTCTATAAAAAAATTAGAAAGAAAAATTACATTACAACAATCAAACGAGGTAATAAACATTTACTAATATGAGAATAGAACAAAAAGAAAAAAAAACAACAATTTCTACTCACTTCTATGCAATGATTGCATACAGAACAATGTGAACAACGTGGCGGACGATAGAATTTACATGTGACACACCATTTCATTTTAACGGTGATGCCATTGATTTCAGCATTTTTATAAAGTGGAGCGCGAAATTCCTCCTCTCGGTCCTCATCTGGTGATGCTGGGCGAAAATTTAAAAAGTAATAATAAAGTAAATGTCGTTAAATGTAGGGTATATATGTATGTATATATATGCAATTGGTTAATATAATACATACCTTTTGGTATGACACCGGGATCCATGAATGTTGCTAATGAGAAATTGGCCAAAACGAAGAATGTGATGACACCCTGATATGCTGGTACCCATGGATGGCTTTTCAAATAATATTGGCAGCTGCAATCAAATGGAAATGGAAATAGGAATGACAATAACATAAGTAAATACATAGATAAATACAACAATAAATATAATAGGAAATAAACTGTCGGAATAGCTGTATATATATATATATACATATATATGTATATAGAGTGTTCATAAAAAATTATGTGAACGGAAATGAGATGGGAAGTATTAAGTACTTAGATATACATATACAGATATATACATACAGATATATATAGGTATATTAAGGAAGGAAATGGTACATTCGCTGTTACCCACATTTGTTTATGTGGCACATAAATTTTGTTAAAGAAAAGTTTAAACACGATATCCGCTTTTAAATTTATATCACTTTTATACATATTATTTGTAGGTATGTATGTATTTATGTATTATATATACGAATCCTGAAGGCATCTAACAGTCATTGGTACTGACTATGATTTACAGCCTCAATACAAATGTGCACAAGAAATGTGCTTTACATATGTACATACATACATATTTATACAGGCTTGTCCATTTTGAAGGTTCGAAAATAAATTTAAATGAAATAAATTTAAAACAATGTTTTTCATGAAATTCACCCTTACTTACGAATTCTAACAAAATTCGATCTGCCTGAGCTGATTTTGGTAGACTTTTTGGCACATATTGAACGGGATTGCAGCCATGAATTCACGAAGATTTGTATTCAAGTGCTTAAGAGTTGAAGGTTTATCCGCCAAAAGCACGGTCAAAAAAAAAAAAATAAAAAAAGGACGGTGTTAAACCAATGTGGCCAATTGGCATTGTCAAGGCGAGCGATTACGCGATCTAGAAATTTTTATCGCAATAGCAACATATTCGCGTGTGTTGTGTGGCATGTGGCATCATCTTGTTGAAGTTACATATTGTTCAAGTCGTGTTCTTCAATTGCAGGCAAAAAAAAATTTGATTATCATACGACCATAACGCATTGAATTGATACTGAATGTCTAGCCGTTGTTGTTTTCAAAGCAATAAGGTCCAATCACACCTTCAAACCATAAAGCTCACCAGACAATGAGTCTTTTTTTCAGTGTAATGGCGTCTCTACCATTATTAGAGCATATTCGGAACCTCGAATGCGACCATTTTGCTTATTTACGTATCCCCCGAGTGAGAAAATTGTCTGGACGCTGATGAAAATTTTATTCGTTCACTGCTTGTTGTTCTACCACCTGATCGACATATATTTGAACTGTGTAGTAGATAATCAGCTGAATCCAGTTGTTATGTGAGCTGGACTCTATGTGGATGTTGGTGTAATTCCAAGTGCAAGTTATGTCATAATGTGTCGTAAGAAAGACTCTGCTCTCGAGAACGTCAAGAAATAGACACATTCGGATCTTCGGCTACAATTTCACTTTCAGTAAGAGTTAGGCGAATGCGCAAAATGATACCGAACAGGCTTGCAATATCTTTAACAGAACCAGAGTCTTCAAATCCAGTTGGAGGATTATGTGCACCATCATCTCCTCTTAAAGGGTAAGCCCATTCACAGAGGTTGAAAAATATACTAATTTTTTTTTAATTTATTGTATGAATGTGGGAAAAGGAATAGAATTTATATTTAACCATTTTATTGAAGAGACATTGAAGTATGACAAAATATTCTTTAATTATTGTTTTATTAGAAAATAACGATGACAAAGTTCATGTTTATTTGAAAGGCTTCCAAAAGAGAACTGATTTCTTTTTAAGGATGAGACCTAGAACAGCAAAGCCAAAAGTTTTATGATCTACAAACTATGGTCTTTGGAGGTACAAACGAATTTATTATTTAACTAATTTTTGTGAAAGAGGTAAAATTTTTTTTAAGACTGATTTTTGACTAAAAAATGCGCACTAAATTATTAAAAAGAAAAGTTTACAATTAATTGAAAAACAGCTACGTGCTTCCAAAAAAAAAAGAAAAGTGCTTATGAAGCTACCATCGAAATTTCAGATAAATCGATGCAATAATCCGGCCTCCCAGTTTGAAAATCTGATTTTGAGAAAAACGCTTTTGCATTGTACTCAGCGAACGTTCTGAGGGGCGGCAGCAAAATAAAAAGTACAGCGATTTGAAATATTTTTTTTTTTCACTTTAAAACCAATTGCTTATCGTTTCTAGGAGCCAAAGGTACCAAAAAAAAGTTGCGTTTTCCAAAATCCTAGAGTGGCTTTACTCCTTAAAGCACGAAACGTGGCTACGCTTGAATCACCATTTTTGTAGTAGATTTTAGCAATATTAACGCTTCGTACAAAGCAGCCTGGCTTGGTAGTTAAGTTAGACAGATATCAAATTACACCCCGCAACTTTTGAAACCACAAAATGGATAACCCCCTTCTTCTTTCATATGTATGTATGCCTTACTAAGTTGAACTTTTACCTAACCTAACCAACCGCCCATGTTTATGCTGCAAAGGAGGCAACTTGTAATCGGGTGGAGCAACGCCGATTCACTCTATGGACAGTCAAATGCGCAAACCGGTACATTTGTGCATTTTAAATTAATGTGAACCCGAGCGTATGTCCATATATAGACATAAAAGTAGGCTATAAGTAGTGTAAGTACGGGCTTGTGATAGGACTTGAGCGGTATTACGTTGCTTTTGCCATGTTTTTTTTTTTCTCTTTCTATAAGATATATACATAAGTATGTATGTATGTATGTATATTTTCCATTTCATTTACACAACAAATAAGTATGAAAGACAGAAAAGAAATTGTCGCATAGAATATACATGCATACACACGTACATATGTAAGTATAAGTGTGTGTGTGTGTGTGTGTGTGCATGTAGTCGATGGCGGCAAAAGGATGCTGGTGCACTCGTCGTCGTATTATCAACAACACACAGCCTCAGTGCGCTCAGTGAGCCTTAGGTAGGTGAGTAGGTTAGTTATCGGTTGCTTATGCAAAGAAGAGTATCTGTGGCATGATTACAAATTCGTTTACATTTATACTACAACTACTCACGGATATGCTTGTTTTATGTAATTTTTATATGTATACGAACTTTATAATACAAATACCGTTATTTTTTTGCTATTTTTTTATTTTTATTTTTTGACTTTTTATATTGGACTTATAACGGGGAAGTCATTCGTTTTACGGCAAGTGAGTTTTGTAGTTGTCAGTATGTGAGGTCCTTATTAAAAATTACTTGCTTACATATAAAAGTGCTGTTATGTGTGTAAAATTTCTAATGTTAAATAGGGTCTGTGAGTGCAATAAATGATTTTTTATTTTATTTTTTATTTAAATTATGTGACAGAAATGATTTAAATTGAAGTAAGCTCCGCGTAAAGACCAAATTTGCTTTGAAAAAAATTATATTCTTATAGGAATTTGGTTTTAACGTTGAAAAAATATATAAAAGTATATATGTACATGCGAGGGGACTAAAAAAGTTCAGTAAGTTGACCAGACTGCTGTTTTTTTTTGCTTAGATTTTTACGGATGGGTTTGCTATTATTGGGCTCCATACCATGGACTGCTGTTTGGTTTCTGGATCGTATTTATAGAACCAAGATTCGTCCCTAGTAACGATTTTACTAAAGTTGCTAGACTGACAATTTTCGAATTTGTTTAGGAAAAATTGAGCAAAATGCACTCGAGCTTCTTTTTAGGTCTCATTTGAAATTCGTGGTACCCATCGAACAGATTTCTATTTGTATCCAGGATGAAACAGTCATGGCATTCAAGTCCAATTCATTGGCAATAATTTTTTGTGTCAATCGTGGGCCTTCGTCCATTTTGGACTTCACCAGAGCTACAGCGACGTCATTAGTAGAAGGTTTTGGACGACGCTTGCGGGGCTCGTCCTCTCTGTAAAAATGTCCGGTCTGGAATCTTCGGAACCACCTAGAAATAATCTTTAAAGACCATATGGAGGACGATTGATCTTTTTTTGGGAGAAGTCTTCCAAATAAGACACTGAAGGTCCTATCTGGCGTATTGTGCTCTCTATCAAAGTACTTATCAGACACGTTGGACAATAAACCTATTACGCCTCCTATGCCAAAAGCTAGAGCTGTAGTCTAGCTTTTTGGTATGCAGTTGCGATCGCCGGCCTCTCTATCATCTACTTTTTTGTACTCGTCGCGAATTCTGGAAACGTGAGCAGTCCTCGGCTATAAAAGAGAGAGAGAGAGAGAGAGAGAGAGAGAGAGAGAAAGAGAGAGAGAGAAATAGAGAGAGAGAGAGAGGAAACTTCGGTGGAGCGACTCCGCCATATTCGATTTACGAATTCGTTGAAATCTAATTTGCAGCGACTGTGCAGCGGCGAGCAAATTTACTAAAGAATATGATTCATGCACCGAGAATGACCAGTCTCTTTATTGGGAAGGTGCCGTGGCCAAGCTGAATTTTATCGACTTGTTCTCGAAACCAGATTTTTTCAATTTCGGATTTAGAACCTATTGAACCATGATCAACAAGAACTAAATGGCATTTTACTCCTAAAATGTCTCCTTATGACTGGGCCACAACCAAAAAAATTAATTAATTAACTAAAAATATTAATTGTTATTTAAAAAAAAATGTATAAACAATTAAAATTGAAAAAAGTGTAAAAAAATAAAAAGTCCGCCAATTTTTTTTTTTGTGAAAATGTTTCATTGTACTCTGGCCATAGCCAATGCGATACAGAATAAGAAACCGTTTTGTTTTTTGCTTTAAGAGGATTTGCTTTACAGTTATCGTGTCACTCATCAACAAAAGGAACGTGCTTCAGTAGCTATTTTAAGAGCCGCCATTTAAAAAAGAGAAAAATTTTCTTAATTGAATTTTTTTTTTAAATAAAATTTTTATACGTCGACTTATCTACAAAAACTTTTATTTATAAACAATTTTTTTTAATAAATAAAATTTTTTTAGAAGAAAAACAAGTTTTTTGGAGGAACCTGGCCTTAATACTTTAGTCCGCGAATATTGAAAAGCGAGAAAAGCAGACCATTTATGAAATATACCCACAACCCTCTAAATTTTCTGTATTTT